GTGTCCACGCTCAGGGTCACGGTGTTAACTCTCAAGTCTACACTGTGTCTCTGGCCGGTCAGCTTCTGCAATACCTTAATAAACTTCTTCAAATTCTAAGCCCATGTTGGCGCGTTCTTTCTCCTACCCCACAACACCGTGACATTGTTCCAAGTACAATGTTGATACAGAGGGAATAATCATTGGTTCTATCTTGCTCTCTTGTTTTTCAGGAATGGTGGTAAACACCTATAATGCCAGCCACTGGCAATGGCTCATACCTGTTATTCCGCTACACAGGAGGCTGAGATCTGAGGATTGTGGTTTGAAGCCAGCCTAAGGGAAGCCGAATCCATGAGGCTATTAATTCCAATTCACCATAAAAAACACAGAAGTGAGCTGAGCATTGGTGGCTGTGATCTGAGATCCTGCCAGTCTGGGCAGTAAAGGCCATGAGACTCTGATCTCCAATTAACTATCAAAAAACCAGAAGTGGTGCTGTGGCTCAAAGTTGTAAAGCAGTAGGCTTGAGCAGAAAAGCTCAAGGATAGCATCCAGACCCCTGACTTCAAGCCCAATAACAGCAATGGCTCAAAAGGTAGAATGACAATCTTGAGTGAAAAAGCCAATCCAATTAACTAGGCTGGGAATGTGGCTTAGTGGTAGAGTGCTTGCCTAGCATGCATGAAGCCCTGGGTTCAATTTCTCAGTACCATATAAACAGAAAAAGCCAGAAGTGGTGCTGTGGTTCAACTGGTAGAGCGCTAACCTTTAGCTGAAGAGCTGAGGGACAGCGCGCAGGCACAGAGTTCAGGACCCAAGACCGGACCCCCCCCCAAAAAAAAAAAAAGAAAGAAAAGAAAAAGCCAATTGAGAGTGTGAAGCCCTGAGTTCAAGCTCCAGTGCTCTCTCACACATACAACACAGTAACAAAAAAAAAAACAACATTGTGTGTGTGTGGGGGGGGGGTACATGTCATCCTAACTACTCAGGAGGCTAAGATCTGAGTGGTAGAATGTCAGTCATGAGCATAAATGCCCAGTGAAACTGAATGTTGATAGCTCATGCCTACAATCTTTGCTACTGAAGAGGCTGAGACCTGAGGGTGGCAGCCCAGCAAGAAACTGGTACTAACACTGGCACACACACACACACACACACACACACACACACACACACACACACACCACCTAGAAGGCAAGTAAGCAAATGCATAATACCCAGATAAATAGTCTACCACTTTTTTTTGTGTGTGTGCGTTCCGGGGGGGAGGGGGTATGGTGCTTGAATTCAGTGCCTGGGCACCTCCCTGAGCTTGCCACTTTGAGACACAGTCAAACTTATGGTTTTCTGGTAGTTAATTGGCAGGAAGAGTTTCATGGACTTTCCTGCCCAGGCTGGCTTTGAGCTGTGAACCTCAGACCTCAGCCTCTTGAGTAGCTAGGATTACAGAACTCATGAGCCACCAGTGCCCAGCATTTTGTTTTGTTTCTTCAGACAAAGTCTTATATATCCCAGTCTGGCTTCAGATTTGAGGTTCTCCTATCTCAGCCTCCAGTGTTGGTATTATAAGCATGTACCACTATACCCTACCCCAACAATCCTTGTTTGTATATGTGGTGTGTGTGTGTGTGTAATGGAAATTGAATTTAGGACTTTGTACTTTACCACTTACGTCATACCCTCAGTCCATTTTGCTTTAATTTGTTCTTTTGTTTTTGTTGTTTAGAAGGGGACTTGAACTCTTATCATACACTTTCCCTAATTGGCTGACACTGTACCACCTGAGTCACACACCCCCCTCTTGCTTTTTTCAGATCTTTTTCTGTTTTAAGCCCCAGATGGTTGATCCTCCTATTTTCTACTCCAGAGTAGTTGGGATATATAACTTTACCACCATTCTTTGTTTTTGCTTGACATAGGAGTTTGCTAACTTTCTACCAGCCTGGAATGGCATTTATCCTATTTCTGGGTCTCAAGTAGCTGTGATTACAGGGTTGAAACACCACATCTGGCCTCCCAATAGTCTTCTCTATATAAAAGAAACCAATAACCCACTGCATTTTTACTTTATCTTTCCATAAAACCTGTTGCTAACATATTTTGTCTTTTTTTGTTTTTTGGTGGTGAGGCCTCAACTCTGGGCCTGGCCACTGTCCCTCAGCTCTTCAGCTCAAGCCAAGCACACCACCACTTGAGCCACAGCGCCACTTTCGGTTTTTTGAGTGGTTTATTGGAGATTAAAGTCTCACGGACGGAGAAAGGGGGGGGGTAAAAAAAATAAAGTCTCACGGACTTTTCCTGCCCTGGCTGCCTTTGAACAGAGATCCTCAGATCTCAGCCTTCTGAGTAGCTAGGATTACAGGCGTGAGCCACTGGTGCCCGGCTGAGCAGGGGTTTCTATGTCTTGGTCACTTCACATACCTAGAACCTGAAGCAGTGCCTGGCCCATGGTTGGATGAATTGTTTACTCCACTGCTTAATGGGCTGTGGGTTAAGAGTCTGGTAGACTGGATTAGGAAGAGCAAAAGTTTTCATAAACGATCCACAAATTTTCATTAAAAAGATGGGCGCCGGTGGCTCACGCCTGTAATCCTAACTACTCAGGAGGCTGAGATCTGAGGTTCGTGGTTCAAAGCCAGCATGGGCAGGAAAGTTCGTGAGACGCTAATCTCCAATTAACCATCAGAAAGCCGGAAGTGGTGCTGTGGTTCAAGTGGTAGAGCGCTAGTCTTGAGCTGAAGAGCTGAGGGACAGCTCCTACGACCGGAAAAAAAAAATTCCCATTCAGTTCAACAAACACGGTTCGGAAGACAACGAAAGAGCGACAGATGTAACTCTGGTTTTGCAAGGGTAAGGTCCCAAGTTCAAACCCTAGTGTAAACAGATAAAGCAGCACAGGCGCTGGTGGCTCACGCTGGTCAGCCTAGCTCCTCAGGAGGCCCCGCTCTGAGAATCGCGGTTCGAAACCAGCTCGGGTAGTAACGTCCACGAGGATTCTTTACCTCCTGGTGTAAAAAAGCTCAGGGGCAGAGCACAGGCCCTGAATTCAAGCCCCGGTACACACGTACAGGAACAGATAAAGCAGAAAAGAAAGATAAGCAGTACAAAACTCAACGTTATCCCAGGAGCTCCCAGCGAACAGGGCAAAGAAGATGCTCGCTCACAACGGGGATCCCAAAGGCGGCGAACGGGAAGAGGCGCGCGCCGTGATGACGTCACGCGGCGGTGCTCCCGTCGGCCCTCGCGCCTGGCCTGCGCGCGCTCCGTGGGTAGGGCTTCGGCGCATCATGGCGGCCTGTAGGCCTCCAGCTCCTGGCTCCGTGAGTGCTGTTCTCCGGCCCTTGTCCCTTTTTTTTTTTCCTGGTCTCAAATTTTCTTTTCATGTTCCTTTCACTTCGTGTCTCTGGCTTCTGCGTCGCGGCCGGGGTTTGGGAAGGGGCCTGGGAGGCGGTTCGCCCTTACCTCGCTGATTGTTTTTTTCCCTGCCCAACTTACTCCTGAGGCTCCCATTGCGCGCCTTTCAGTCAGTCTCCACGGTTTGATTAGGGTTCCGCTAGTGAGACACCAGGAACAGGTTAACGACGAGGCTGTGTTTTCCTGGAGGAACAGCTTGGGTAGGCAAGACCACGGGACTGTCCGATGATCCACCAGCAAGTACTACAGCACTTGCTACTGATGTTCAAGGCCCTGAATTTGATCCCCACCACCATCGACTAAAATACTAACAAGCTGGGCATCAGTGGTTTGCACCGATAATCCTAGTTACTCAGGAGACTCTCCAGACTGAGACTCGCGGTTCAAAGCCATCTCAGACAGACAAGTCCCATGAGACTCTATTTCCAGTAAACCGCTAACCACGCCGAAAAGGGACTGTGGCTCAAGAGGGAGTGTGCTGCCTTGAGAAAAACAAAAACAAACAACAACAAAAAAAAAACCAGGCTGGGAATGTGGCCTAATGGTAGAGTGCTTGCCTACCATGCATGAAGCCCTGGGTTCAATTCCTCAGTGTCACATAAACAGAAAAAGCCGGAAGTGGTGCTGTGGTTCACGTGGTAGAGTGTTTTGGCCTTGAGCAAAAGTAGTCTAGGGACAGTGTCCAGGTCCTGAGTTCAAGCCCCAGGACTGGCCAAAAACAAACAAAATACTACCACCACAAAAACCAAACAAAACATTGAATTCTCTTTTAACTACTTTGAATTACTTTGGTATTACTTTTAGAAATAGTGGTATTCAGTGTGCCAAGTAATGGATAGGAACACAGAGTAAGGAACCTAAAAGGATGGAGAGAAGAAAAGTATGAATATGAGCTTTAATAATATTGGTGGGACAACGGAGGATGATAATCTGATCTAGTGTTCAAAATTCTGACCGTGAATGAGAGTTTCTGGCAGAGGGGCAGTGAGGGTTATATACAGTGGGAATAGGACAACTTGGTCTACCTATGTATGTACAATCTATATGGTCCCTGTATGCCTTAGGAACAGGGAACAAATCTAGTGGGATTACATCTTGTATACAAATAGTTGATGAAAACTCACGCATATTCCTAAAAGAAAATGATTAAAAATTATACTCTGCCTATGTCTTTTTTTAAAATATATTTTCCACCAATAGGCACTCTTAAATTATAGGGTAATAATACGTACTACTGGGTTTTGTGTGTGTGTGTGTTTGCGTGTTTGTTTGTTTTTTGTTGGTCATGGGGCCTGAACTCTGGGCCTGCTTGCTGTCCCTCAGCTTTTCAGCTCAAGGCTTAACACTCTAGCATTTGAGCCACAGTGCCACTTCCGGCTTTTTTTTTCCCTGTTTATGTGGTGCTGAGGAAGCAAACCCAGGGCCTCATGCATGCAAGGCAAGCACTCTACCGCTGAGCCACCTTCCCAGCCCCTGTACTACTCTGTGTGTGTGTGTCCCCTTTTGATTTTTCACTCGCTGATGCTGTTCCAATTGAACTACAGCTCTACCTTTTTTTTTTTTCTTTTGGTAATTAATTGATGATGAGAGTATCATGGACTTTTCTGCCTAGGCTGGCTTCTAACCCTGGTCCTCAGATCTCAGCCTTCTGAGAGTAGATAGGATTGCAGGTATGAACCACCAACACATATCTAGTAAGTACTATTCTTTATAAATAATTTAAAGGAGAGAGCGCGAGAGAGAGTGTATATGTTTATCACTAGAGGTAAAACCTAGGACTATGCACATGATAGACAAGTACTCTGCCACTTCAGCTATGCTCCCAGCTCTTTTGTTTTTATTTTGTTTGTGAGACAGGATCTTACTACTTTTTTACTTGGGCTTGCCTTGAATTCACAATCCTCCCCCATGTGGAATAGCTGGGATTACAGATTTGTACCACCATACCCAGGTAATTTAAAATAATTTTGAAAGGATGAGTTTTCCCATTCAAACTTTTCAGCTTGCTGGCTTTATGTATTTGTTTAGGGGAAGGGTATCCCATGTAACCCAGGCAAGCCTTGAACTCATGATGCTCCTGCTTCAGCCTCCCAGTGCTGGGTTTATAGAAATGGACCACTACACTAGGCTTTAACTCATCCACCTTAGAGCCAGACTCCATGTATGGTGGGATATCCTTAAACATGGTAATTAGTGTCCTAGTGAGGTATGTGAATAACAGTGTAGCACCTCTCTGATCAGGAACAGTTCTTATTTAACTTTGATCTTGCTGCTTTTCTGACAAACCTGCATTAACCCTTAAAATGCTCAAGCAGATTTGTTGGTGGCCCACTACAGGAGATCTGTTAGTTCTAGCTACTTAGGAAGCTGGAAATGGGAGGATCATGCTTGAGGTAAGCTTAGGCAAAAAAAAAAAAAAAGTTCACAAGACCCCATCTGAACAGGAAAAAGCTAAGTGTTATGGTGCATGTCTATCATGTCAGCTATGTCAGGAAGCCTAAATTTGAAAATTGCCATCTTGATTGGTCTGGGTAAAAAGCATGATCTTATCTTAAAAATTACCAGAGTGAAAAGCACTTAGAGGCATGACTTAAGAGGAAAAGTTCCTGCCTAGCAAGTTACTCAAACCCCAGTACTGTTGTAAAAGATTAAAAAACAACAAACAGCCGGACGCTGGTGGCTCACGCCTGTAATCCTAGCTACTCAGGAGGCTGAGATCTGAGTGTCGCGGTTCAAAGCCAGCCCGGGCAGGAGAGACCGTGAGACTCCTATCTCCAGTAAACCACCAGAAAACCGGAAGTGGCGCTGTAGCTCAAGTGGTAGAGTGCTCGCCTTGAGCTGAAGAGCTGAGGGACAGCGCCCAGGCCCAGAGTTCAAGCCCCACGACCGACAAAAAAAAAAACAAAAGCAACTATGTGTTTAACTCAGATTTTTTTCCCCTCAGAGCTAGGGATCAAACCTAAAGTATAACACAAGCTAGGCAAGCATTCAAGAACATCCCAGCTCTGGACTGACTTTTTTTTTGGTCAGTCGTGGGGCTTGAACTCTGGCCTGGGCACTGGCCCTCAGCTCTTCAACTCAAGGCTAGCACTCTACCACTTGAGCCACAGCACCACTTCCAGTTTTCTGATGGTTTATTGGAGATGAGAGTCTCATGGACTTTCCTGTCTGGGTTGGCTTTGAACCGAGATCCTCAGATTTCAGTCTCCTGAGTAGCTAGGATTATAGGTGTGAGCCACCAGTGCCTGGCTGGGCTGACTTTTAAGGTCTTTTCAAGTTCCTTTTTATTTTATTATTAAGTAGTTATACAAAAAAGTTACAATTCCATGTCATGTTATGAATACAGTGCGTCTTCATCAATGCCACCCCTTCCATCATTCTCCCGTTTTCCCCTCCCCACCCTACCCTTAAGTTAGGTGATTCAGTTTTTACATAATACATAATGAATATAATGACTGCATTTGCTCACCTTTCCTTCCTCCATTTGTGTGCTTCCTCCTTCCATTACCTTTCCCTCCCATACATATTGCTGCTTCCTGTTACTTCATTAGTTGTTCAGAGTAGTTACAACATTGCTCCCCTAAGTATACCATCCTTTAGTCAATTTGTGTGTGCAAACACTTGATGGTCATTTGCATACCATCTGAATTTTTTTCCTATTTCTTAAAAGATTGCTTGATGGTCAGGATAGTAGTCTTAAAAGATGTTTTAATTAGATCTACTTTTCTCAGGAAGAAGCTTGGCTTAAGGCTGCCCAGACCTTCATCCAAGAGACTCTTTGTCCAGCTGGCCAGCAGCCTAATGTCCGGTTGACTCAGTTGGTACTTGATTGTGTGAAGACTACCTGGTTGTCCCAGGGGAGGAGCCAGGGCTCTACACTGCCCCTCAGCTACAGGTAAGGAGAGGTGGGCTTTGGCCAGGAGGATAAATTTGGTATTAAGGAGGAAGAAACAAGCCGGGCACTTAGTGGCTCACACCTGTAAACCTAGCTATACAGGAGGCTGAGATTGTGGTTTGAAGTCAGCCTAGTCAGGAAAGTCCATGAGGCTCTTATCTCCAATAAACCAGAAACTGGAAGTGGCGCTGTGGCTTAAATAGTAGAGTGCTAGCTTTGAGCTGAAGAGCTGAGTAGCTAGGATAACAGGCTTGAGCCACTGATGCTTGGCAGGAGATGAGGTTATTTTTGCTTGACTGAAGTGGAATAAGAATGGGAGCAATCCAGGAGCCAAAGGCTCATGCCTGTAATCCTAACTACTCAGGAGGCTGAGGGCTGAGGATTGCAGTTCAAAGCCAGCCTGGGCAGGAAACTCTGTGAGACTCTTCTCTCCAATTAGCCACCAGAAAAAACCAGAAGTGATGCTGGGGCTCAAGTAGAAGAGTGCTAGCCATGAGCTGAAAAGCACAGGGACAGTGCCCAGGCCCAGAGTTCAAGCCCCATGACTAGCAAAATAAAGGAAGGGCGCGGTGGCTGGGAATGTGGCTTAGTGGTAGAGTGCTTGCCTAGCATGCATGAAGCCTTGGGTTGGATTCCTCAGTACCACATAAACAGAAAATGCTGGAAGTAGTGTTGTGGTTCAACTGGTCGAGTGCTAGCCTTGAGCAAAAGCAGCTCAGGAACAGTGCCCAGGCCCTAGGTTCAAGCCCTAGGACTGGCCAAAAAAAAAAGAAGGAAGAACCATATCTAGAGCAAGGGAAGTAAGAAGAGTAAGTGAAGAACAAGGTGGACTAAACATACCTCCTGCAAATCTTCTCTTTTCCTAAAGTTCTTCTAAGTCAATTGAAGTCAAGTTTCCTAAGTCCTGATCAACCTCTAGACTTAGGCACTATCCTCATTTTTTTTTCTTTTTTGCTTATGTAGTGCTGAGGAATCGAACCCAGGGCCTCAGGCATGCAAGGCAAGCGCTCTACCACTGACACACCTTCCCAGCCCAGCATCCTCATTTTTGTAGGCCCTTGCTCCCACTCCTTTTTTTGGTTGGTCAAAGGGCTTGAACTCTGGGCCTGGGCGCTGTCCTTGAGCTTTTCAGCTCAAGGCTAGCACTCTTCTACTTGAGCCTCAGCATCACTTCTGGTTTTTTCTGGTGGCTAATTGGAGAGAAGAGTCTCACAGACTTCCCTGCCCAGGCTGGCTTTGAACTACAATCTTCAGCCCTCACCCTCCTGAGTAGCTAGGATTACAGCCGTGAGCCACTAGTGCCCAACTTGCAAGACTCTTATCAACATCCACCAAAAAGCTGGAAATGCAGCTGTGGCTCAAGTGTTAGAGCACTAGCCTTGAGCAAAAAAAGCTCAGTGATAGCACCCAGGCCTTGAGTTCAAGTCCCAGGAACAGCACACACGCACACAACAAAAACAAAAAAACCCTTGTTTCTTACTCCATGATCCCATTCAATCCTTTTTTGAGCTCTTGGGGATATGTCAGAGTTGAGAGCATCCTCCTAGGTTTGGACTGACTTTGTGAGATGTCTGTTCTCTTTCCAGCTTCGTCTCAGTACAGAACCTCAGGACCCACCAGCGACTCCCGTGCTGCAGCCACCTGTCCTGGAGCAGTAGTGCATACCAGCACTGGGCCCAAGGTGCTGAGCCAAATGGGAGCCCACTACACCGGGAGCGGCTGTTACTTTTAGGGACACTAACAGACTTGTCAGAGGACTTGGAACCAGAATGCAGGAATGGAAGCCTCTATGTGAGAGATAACACTGGAATCCTGGACTGTGAGGTGAGCAGTCAATCACCTCAGGCCCCTAACAGGAATGGTGTCTAGGAAGCATGGAGGCTGCTAAGTCTCTGAGGGAACAAATGTAGAAAATATGTAGGTTGGAGTCTGGGGTCCTGATTAACCTGTGTTCTTGTTTTTTTTCTAGCTCATAGATCTAGACCTTTCTTGGTTGGGGCATCTCTTCCTGTTCCCCAGTTGGAGTTACCTCCCTCCTGCCAAATGGAGTTCCTCAGGGAAAGGGCACTTGGAGCTCTGGGATGCCCCGGTGCCAGTGTTCCCTTTGACTATTACCCCTGGCCCTCTCACACCTATCCCTGTCCTGTATCCAGAGATGGCATCCTGCCTGCTCAGACACAGGTAATGCTTTCTTTCCAGGGAATCAAGGAACACTAAAACTTGGAAAAAATAGTGGTTAAATGGAGAATAATAAAGGAAGTTTGTGTGTGTGTGTCTGTGTGTGTGTGTATGTGCAGGCCCAAATGGCTCATTTATTTTCTGGTTGTTTGGGAGGTTTTTAGTGGTTGATTGGAGATAAGAATGTCATTGACATTCCTGCACAGGCTGCTTTCAACCCCAATCCTCAGATTTCAGCCTCCTAAATAACTAAGATTATAGGTGATCCAGGTGAGCCAATGGACATCTGATAGAAAGTTTTGTTGTTGTTGTTGTTTGTACATTTTTTATTGTAAAAATGCTGTTCAGAGGGGTTACAGTTACATGAGCAAGGTAATGGCCGGGCGCTGATGGCTCACGCCTGTAATCCTAGCTACTCAGGAGGCTGAGATCTGAGGATCGCAGTTCAAAGCCAGCCGGGGCAGGAGAGACCGTGAGACTCCTATCTCCAATAAACCACCAGAAAACAGGAAGTGGCGCTGTAGCTCAAGTGGTAGAGCGCTTGCCTTGAGCTGAAGAGCTGAGGGACAGCGCCCAGGCCCAGAGTTCAAGCCCCATGACCAAAAAAAAAAAAAAAATCAGAACATGAGCAAGGTAATAAGTACATGTCTTATTGAGCATTGTTGCCTCTTCCTTTGTTTTCTCCCTACCATCCCTTCCCTCTCACCTCCACAACTAACCCCCCTCCAAGGAAGGTTTTTGATAATTGTATACGGAATGTTTCTTTTTTGTTTTTTCTTTTATTTGGGGTAGGTCATAGGGCTTGAACTCAGATCCTGAGCTCTATACCACTTTGAGCCACAGTTCTATTTCCCATTTTTGCGTGGTTAATTAGAGATAAGAGTCTCACGGACTTTTCTGCCCTGGCTGGCTTCAAACCGTGATCCTCAGATCTCAGCCCCCTGATTAGCTAGGATTATAGGCATGAGCTACTGGTGTATCAAGTCAAGGAAATAGTAGGGGGCTGCTGAATACTAAGTGATCTGGCCAGTCACTGGTGGCTCATGCCTATAACACTAGCTACTCAGGAGGCTGAGATCTGAGAGTTGCTGTTCGAAGCTAGCCTGGGCAGGAAAGCCTGAGAGACTCTTATTTCCAATAATGTACTCAGAAAAACCAGAAGTGATACTGTGGCTCAAGTGGTAGAGCACTAGCGTTGTGCAAAAGAAGCATTCAAGCCCCAGGACTGGGCAAAAAAAAGGATTTGAAGATTTTTAGAATAGTACTTTTGGACACTTCAAGTACAAGAGAAGACATTTCTAAGGGGAGAAAAACCCCAGAATAAAGACTTCCTTTCCTCTGGCTTCCTTAGAAGCAAGTTCAAAGTTGTGAAGCCAAACCTGGCTGGGAAACTGGTTCAATTGAGTGCTCTGGTGAGAAGTAAAAAGAAAGCATATTTCATCCTGTCTCTTGGTGAAACGTCCGCAGCCATCAACCAAACTGTCAGCCGGGTGTCCATCATCGTGCAGGTGAGGTCAAGTGAGAGGCACACAGGTATGGAAAGGGTGTTAGTACTCCTTGGGGGGGGGGGAGAGAGGTGGGCTGCTGGGAAGATGGCTCAGTGGTAGAGTGCTTACCTTCCATGCATGCGGCCCTGGGTTTGATTCCTCAGCACCACATAAACAGAAAAGGCCAGAAGTAGTGCTGTGGCTCCAGTGGTAGAGTGCTAGCCTTGAGCTGAAGAGCTGAGGGACAGCGCCCAGGCCCAGAGTTCAGGCCCCACAACCAACCGGAAAAAAAAAGTCTCACTCATGAATCTTCCTGCCTGGGCTGGCTTTGAACCTTGATCCTCAGATCTTAGCCTCCTTAGTAGCTAGGATTACAGGCGTGAGCCACCGGCCCCCAGTGGAGGACTGCTTTCTAGAAGCAGTGAGGGAAGATTGAAGGCCATGTTGTTTGTATATAGAAGTAAAAAATAGTGTTTATGCCTATCTATGTAGCACAGTCTGGCCTCAAACTACTAATCCTTCTGCCTCTGCCTCCCAAGTATTGGGCAGTGCCACCACATTTGCTCATAAAACTGCGTGTTTCTGGTTGCTTCCTCTTTGGATCCTCCTTCTTTTTCCGTTCCTCTTAGTCAAAGCATATAAATTGAAATACAAAACATTTTCAGTGCTGTTATGATGCCAGAAGTGGTACCCAAGTCCATACCTAACTTTACCGGCACACTAAAAATATATAAAATTACTTTCATGTTATGTGTATAAGGTGTGTATGAATTTCATGTTTAGAGTTGATTCTGTCTATAGGACAGCTCATAATATATATGTGAATATATATTAGAGTCTGAAAGAAATCCAAAATCTGAACATTTCTGATTGCAATTATTTTGGATAAGGAAAACTGAACCTTCAGGGCCCTGTTCAAGTTCTTCACTCACTGGGCATTCTTTTTTTTCTTTTTCTTTGTCTTTTGCCAGTCCTGAGCCCTGAACTCAGGGCCTGGGCACTCTCCCTGAGCTTCTTTTTGATCAAGGCTAACACTCTACAGCACCACTTCCAGCTTTTTCTGCTTATGTGGTACTGAGGAATCAAACCCAGGGCCTCATGCATGCAAGTCAAGCACTCTACCACTGAGCCACCTTCCCATCTCTTTCTTTCTTTTTTTCTTTTGCCAATCCTAGGGCATGAATTCAGGGCTTGAGTACTGCTCAAGGCTAGCATTCTATTTGAGCCACAATCCTATTTCCAGCTTTTTGCTGGCTAATTGGAGATAAGAGTCTCACAGACTTTCTGCCTGAGCTGGCTTAGAACTGTGATCCTCAGACCTCATCCTTCTCAGTAGCTAGGATTATAGACATGAGCCACCAGTATCAGCTTTATTGTACTTCTTTAACATCTGTCCCAATACTAGATACATACTTACCCAATACACATTGATGATATAAATGAATGTGGTTTGTATGTGATGAGGTAGGAAAGGGAAAGTGTTGAAAAGGACATTTTCTCAGCCAGGCGCCAGTGGCTCACACCTAAAATCCTAGCTATTCAGGTAGCTGAGATCTGAGGTTCAAAGCCAATCCAGGCAGGATACTCCGTGAGACTTATCTCCAGTTATCCCCCAGAAAACTAAAAGTGGCACTTTGGCTCTAGTGGTAGAGCACTAGCTTTGAGCACAGAGAGGCTCAGGGACAGAGTCCAGGCCCTGAGTCAAGCCCCAAGACTGGCAAAAAAAAAATTAATTGGCAAACAGAAGAAGATGAGAAGGGAAGACTTGTGGAGAGCAGGCCATTAAGGGTGAATTGTTGAATATATATTATATATGAGGAAAGGGTCTCTGACAGGAGCCACTATGGGGAGTGTTTCATGTACCATGTTGCCTTTCTCTATACAACCAGATCCCTGCCCAGCTGGTATGGTACCAAGTCCTTCGGCCTGGTGAGGCCTATGTGCTGACAGGACTTCGGGCATCCAAGATCCGTGGTCACTGTTACTATATTTGGACAACCAGTCCTTCCTCTCATCTGATGTTGCTGAAACCAGAAAACATACAGACGCTGGAGCTGGAAGGACCCTTCCCAGAGGCTGACCTCAATCCATGTCCCATGCGCAGCAAATCCCCAGACAAGAAGGAACATAAAGGTCTTGTTCGGGAATCCAAAATCTTACATTATGTGGTGAGCACAAGAAAGCAATCTAAAGCTCATGAGTGTCCAATGAGGAAGGCGATGATGGCTAACTCAATCTCTGGCCAATTTTCAGGGAACAGTCACTGGTGTGTTGAATGAAGCAGCTGGTCTCTATGAGCTGGACAGGCAGTTAGTACTCTGCCTTGCATACCAGCAGTTCCACGGCCTCAGGCGGGTGATGCGACCAGGGGTTCATTTGGAGGTAGGTGAGAGATTATAGCTTCTCTTACCTTCACAGACTGGTTTTATTTTGAAACTAGGTGGGACTCTATAGCAAATATACACAAATAATAAATGTGTGGTAGAGGGAGTGCTTTAGAATGGTTTAGAAAGACTAGGAGTCTGGCTCAAGTAGTCGAGAGCTGGCCTAGCAATGAGTTCAAACCCCATTACCATTTAAAACAAAAACCGGGCTGGGAAGGTGGCTCAGTGGTAGAATGCTTGCTTCGCATGCATGAGTTCAATTCTTCAGTGTCATATAAACAGAAAAGGCCAAGATGGCACTGTGGCTCAACTAGTAGAGTGCTAGCCTTAAGCTGAAGAGCTGAGGGATAGCACCCAGGCCCAGAGTTCAGGCCCCACGACCAACAACAACAACAAAAAAATTCAGGCCGGGCGCTGGTGGCTCATGCCTGTAATCCTAGCTACTCAGGAGGCTGAGATCTGAGGATCGCGGTTCAAAGCCAGCCCGGGCAGGAGAGACCATGAGACTCCTATCTCCAATAAACCACCAGAAAACCAGAAGTGGCGCTGTAGCTCAAGTGGTAGAGCGCTCGCCTTGAGCTGAAGAGCTGAGGGACAGCGCCCAGGCCCAGAGTTCAAGCCCCACAACTGACAAAAAAAAAAAAAAAAAAATTCAGTCCTGGGGCTTGAACTCGGCCTGAGCTTCTTTTGCTCAAGGCTGGCACTGTACCACTTGAACCACAAGCCTACTTCCAACTTTTTTTCTGTTTATGTGGTACTGAGGAATCCAATTCAGGGCTTCATGCATGCTAGGCAAGCACCCTACCACTAAGCCACATTCCCAGCCCACCCCAGAATAATTTGAACAAGAGCCTAGTCTTGGGCCCTATGGGCAGAGGTGAAGCCCAGAGCAGTAACTTTACAGCTTCCTGACTGGGTGAGGGGAGGGATGGTGAACATACGGGCATAGGACCAGGAATGATCCCAGGCAGCCTGTTAACAAGTCTAAGCCGTATCCAGAAATCACCAAGTCCTAGAAAGAGATGGCTTCATGGGACATGATGGATGACTCACAGGGTACAGGCTCTTTGTTGTGGGGAGGGGAAGGATGGGCATACAGTACTATCTAGGGCTTAAACTCAAGCCTGGGTGCACTCCCTTAGGCTTTTTTGCTCAAGACTGGTGCTCTAGCACTTGAACACTAGGTTCTGTCTTTTTGCTGGTTTATTGGAGATAAGAGTCTCACACATTTTTCTGCTCAGGCTGGCTTTGAACTCTGATCCTTAGATCTCATCCTTCTGAGTAACTAGTATTATAGGTATGAGCCACTGACACTGGACTAAAGGTACAGGTCCTGGTGGGAAGTGAGGCATGGTCTGAAAGAACATAGCCAGTGTAAAGGAACTTGTGTTTCTTTCTCCTGGAACCTAATCAGTGGCAACTCTAGCTACCTGTGTGTGAGTCACTGAGTTAGGCTTTCACTGCTGCTTTTCTGCCTTCCTCAGCTCCAGGATGTTCACCTTCTCCAGTCAGTGGGTGGAGGCACAACCAGGCCAGTGCTAGCTCCCTGCCTCCGTGGTGCTGTTCTGCTCCGGGGCTTTTCTCGCCAGAAGCCTGAGACTCAGTCATCCCTCCAAGTTCACGGGGCCTCTTTATATACACAGCTGGTGTGGGAAAATCATTTAGGACTTCCCCTTTATCTGTGGACTACCAAGACGCTGGAGGAACTGGCCTGCAAGTGAGGAGGGATATGGGTGTGGAGTGGGGACGGGATGGGAATCTGGAAGGGACTACGTCTTCGGAGGAAGTCACTGTGATTTCGCCCCTGACCAAGGCTGTGTCCCCACATGCTGAGGCACCACCAGTTCCTGCAACGTTCTTCTCCTGGGAACCCCAGCCTGGGACTGCAGCTCCTGGAGCCCTCCCTCCAGCTTCCTCCGTCAGGGAGCCACATTCGGAATGCACACAGTGAGATTCTGGAAGAGCCTCATGACTGCCCCCTCCAGGAAGTATGAAGATGTGGGAAAAGTGGGTAGCAGAGCTAATGCCTGGAGGTCACCTGGGCACAGGAAGCATAGTGATTCTGCTTCTCTCTCCTGCCTGACAGTATGCTCAGCTGCAGACTCCCTGCTCTTTCCCCACTCTGGCCAACCTCAGAGAGGAAGCAGAGCGCAGGGCTTGGGCCTCCTTTGATCCAAAGGCACTTGTGCCCCTGCGGGATGCTGCCTACCTACCCAGCTGCCAACTCAACCGCTGCCTGGCCTGGTCTTGGCTCAGTCTGCGCCCCTGTACCTTTGACCCTGCCCAGGTAAGGGGTTCCAGAAGCTCAGGGGACTTTGTCTTTTCACCATCGTCGTTGCCTCTTCCTTAGTCTACATCACTCATTTTAGTTCTTTGGCTTTAATTTTTTGTTTTTGTTTTTGGGCTTTATTTTTTGTTTTTTGTTGGCCACTCCTGGGGCTTGAACTCAGGGCCTAGGCACTGTCCCTGAGCTTCTTTTGCTCAAGGCTACCACTCTACCTCGTTTTCTGTGTCTGTTGTACTGAGGAATTGAACCTAGGGCTTCATGCATGCTAGGCAAGCACTCTGCCACTAAGCCACATTCCCAGCCCTTATTTTAGTTTTTAATCATTTTTACTATGCTATTCTTCAAACTAGACTGCCTGAACTATGCTTGCCTCACTCACATACACACCAGTTCATCCTTCTGAAGTAGCTTTTCTAGCTTGGGCTGGAAGTGTGGGCCTGTCTACAAGCTTAAAGCCCTGATACCTGATACCCTAATACCACCAAAATAGTAACTTGAAGTAACAAAAAGCAACTTGAAGCTAGGTGCTGGTGGCTTGCACCTATAATCTTAGCTACTCAAGAGGCTGAGATCTAAGGATCATGGTTCAAAGTCTGTGATACTCATATCTCTACTAAACTACTAAAAAAGCCAGAAGTCGAGCTATGGCTCAAGTGGTAGAGTGCTAGCCTTGAGGAAAAGCAGCTCAGGACAGCGCCCAGGTCCCGTGTTCAAGCCTAACTGGCTTGTGTGCAAGCACACATGCATACACACACGCACAAACACGCACAAAGTAACTTGGAATAAAACATTGTTGTTTAAATCCTTTTCAAAATTGGAGATAAGAGTCTTGTAGATTTTTCTGCCAGGTTGGCTTCAAACCACGATCCTTAGATCTCAGCTTCCTGAGTATCTAGGATTACAGCCTGAGCCACTGGTGCTTGGCTCAAGTTAGTTAGTTTGTTTGTTTCTTTCTTTTCTTTTTTTTTTTCCGGTCCGGTCGTGGGGCCTGAACTCTGGGCCTGGGCGCTGTCCCTCAGCTCTTCAGCTCAAGGCTAGCGCTCTGCCACTTGAGCCACAGCGCCACTTCCGGCTTTTTTCTTTTTGCTTATGTGGTGCTGAGGAATCAAACCCAGGGTCTCAAGCACGCAAGGCAAGCACTCTACCACTGAGCCACCTTCCCAGCCCCCCTTCCTTCCTTCCTTCCTTCCTTCCTTTCTTTTTGTTGTTGTTGGTGGTCATGGGCTTGAACTCTCTCGGTGCTGTCCCTCAGCTCTTCAGCTCAAAGTGAGCACTCTGCAGCTTGGCCACATCACCACTTCCGGTTTTCTGGTGGTTTATTCGAGATAAGAGTCTCACAGATTTTTCTGCCCAGGCTAGCTTTGAACTGTGATCCTCAGATCTCAGCCTCCTGAGTAGTTAGGATTATAGGCACCAGTGCCCAGCTTCAAGTTTCTTTAAATGCACATAAAAGCAGACTTCTGTTACATCCTGTGAAGTCCTGAATGGTCTCTTCCATTAGCCCCCAATTTTTTTTTCTTTTTTTTTTTGGGGGGGGGTCCGGTTGTGGGGCCTGAACTCTGGGCCTGGGCGCTGTCCCTCAGCTCTTCAGCTCAAGGCTAGCACTCTACCACTTGAGCCACAGTGCCACCTCCGGCTTTTTTCTTTTTGCTTATGTGGTGCTGGGGAATCAAACCCAGGGCCTCATGCATGCAAGGCAAGTACTCTACCACTGAGCCACCTTCCCAGCCCCTAGCCCCCAATTTTTGCACATACCTTTTACTTATTTACACAGAAACTGTGTAGCTCAGGCTGGCCTCAAACTTTGCAATTCATCCATCTCTGCATCCTGAGTGCTAGGATTACGGGCATGTATTAACATGTCCAGCTGTATACTTTATTTCTTGCTATTGAACATGTGAATACTTGTATATTTTTTTTCATCTCTCTTCAACTCTTGAGTATAAGTTTACAGATCTTTTTTTGTTCACTTTGGACTACTAATACTTAATTCCTGTCCAAGCACATAATAAATGGTCAATGGTTGTTTAATAAATATTTGACACTTATCTTTCTTCTTCCTCTAGGTTTTACTTGGCGTTCTGGTGGCTTCATCTCGTAAAGGTTGTCTGCACCTTCGGGACCGAAGTGGTTCTCTGCCCTGTCTGCTCCTGGCCAAGCATTCACAACCTGTCACTGACCCACAGCTTATAGGTATAGAGTTCAGAGATCTTTCTATTGATAGTAGTGGTAGGGTGCAGGTCCTCAAAGTTCAGAGGGATAGGAGGAAGCATCTGCTGGGGTTTGCTATTCTTTTTTCTTTTTGATGCTGGGCCTGGGGCTTGAACTCAGGACCTACATGCTGTTTTCCTTGAGCTTTTTTTGCTCAAGGCTACCACTCTACCATTTGAGCTGCAGCTCCACTTTTGGCTTTTTAGTAGTTAATTGAGTCACACAGACTTTCCTGCCTGGGCTAGTTACAGAACTACAATCTTCAGGACTCAGCCTCCTGATCAGCTAGGATTATAGGTGTGAGCCACCAGCACACAACTGGTTTGCTATTCTTGTAACTTTAAGGAGAAATTTTGGAGATTGGTATGATAGGGAGAAGGAGCCAGCAGATCCCTAGCCAGAATTACTTCTATTCTCATTTCCTTTGCCATAGCTCCTAACATGCACACCAGGACTACAACTTCTGTTTTTTATATTTGTATCTTTCTTTTTTTTTTGTCAGTTGTGGGGCTGGAAGTCTGGGCCTGGGTGCTGTCCCTCAGCTCTTCAGCTCAAGGCTAGCTCTCTACTACTTGAGGCACAGCACCACTTCCAGTTTTCTGAGTGGTTTATTGGATATAAGAGTCTCACAGACTTTCCTGCCTGGGCTGGCTTTGAACCGCAATCCTCAGATCTCAGCCTCCTGAGTAGCTAGAATTACAGGCGTAAGCCACTGGCACTTGACTTTACATTTGTAATTTCTAAGAACAGTATTCTTATTTGACTTACTGGGATTTGTAGAGGGAAATCTTATTGAAGACAATTTGTCAGATTTAAGAACAGGCTGGGTACTGGTGGCTCATACCTATAATCCTTTGCTACTCAGGAGGCTGAGATCTAAGTTCAAAGCCAGCGCAAGCAAGAACATCTGTGAGACTCTTATCTCACATTAACAACCAAAAATTCAGAAGTGGAGCAAAGCTTCAGTGGCAAAGCACTAAGATTGAGTGAAAAGGCTAAGAGACAGTGCCGAAGCCCTGATTACCAGCACACATACACACAGGAAAAAGGACCTAAGGGGGCTGGGAAGGTGGCTCAGTGGTAGAGCGCTTGCCTTGCATGCATGAGGCCCTGGGTTCAATTCCTCAGCACCACATAAGCAAAAAG